TGGGGGGGGGGGGCCCCGGGAAAGCCTGTCCCGGGAATCGGGGGTGGGAGGTGGGGGTGGCCCCTGAAGTGGCCCGCGGGCGCAGAGGGGGACATTCTGGATGCCTGAGGTCTCCTTTGGGGCTGTCTTTGTGTTCCTTGTCTCGCTGTGTGCAGGTTCCGAACCTGTACGTCTGCTCTCTGTCTTGTGAAGCTGCCCTTAGGAGTCCAGGTCCCTCGCTCCCGCGTCCTGCTCCTGTCTCCGTGTCTGTGTGGCTCTGCACGTCCCGCGTTTCTGGACATGCCCCGTGTGTGTGTGAACTGCCCCGGGTCTGTGTCTCAGTCTGTCCCTTCTCCTGGGAAGCTCTCAGTTCCTGACCCTTCACGTGTGTGAACGAGAAGGGAGCCAGCTTGTCAGAGCGGACGGGGTCCTGGGGGAGACCAAGTGGAACCCTCACTGTGCCGTTGGGGAGACCCCGGACCAGAGAGGACCAGCGCAGAGCTGGGACCCGGAGCCAGCCGGGATTCTCAGTGTGCAGTGGGCGTTGTAAGGGAGAGGGAGAAGGGAGTGTGAACAAGAGCCGGCCACTGCGTGCGGGTGCGTGGGAGCCCTCTCTCCGTCCTGCCCCCAGGACCCAGGACACTCCCAAGAGGCTGGTCAGGGCTTCAGCTCTGCCTGCCCCACCCCCTCTGAGCTGGAATCAGGGGGATGTTATCCCCCCCCCCCTTCCCATGTCTTGGAAAAAGCGGGCTGGTTGAGATTCCCCCACCGCAACACACACACACACACACACACACACACACACACGCAGAGCACAGGGAGCTCTCTGCTGACTCATTTTCTCCAGAAGACCCTTTGCCAGAGTAGATGCCAGTGGTTGAGCAGAAAAGTGGTGCCAGGCGGGTACCCGATAGTGGGGCCCAAGCTTTGGGCAGCCGACAGCCCCAATGCTTGGAGGGCAGCCTCTGCCTCTCTGCCTTCCTCACCAGGCGTGGACTGGAATCCTGTGCTCTTTGGCTCTAGCACGCCTTCCAGCCCTACTCTGTCCCCTTTGGCCAGCCTGGGCTCCATGACCCTATTACAGAGCACACCCCTGGCCTCTGCCGGCCTTTCCTGTCCGCCCAGTGCTTGGAACTTTCTCCTTCCCTGGTGCTCACATGCCCACTGTGCCTCCATGGCCATCCGCCCCACTAGGGTGTCCTGGAAGGGGCCTGCCCTCCGAAGGTGGCCCATTTTCTGTGCCCCTTTCTGAGCACTCCCCCTGTTCCTTGGTCACATGTTCTCCCCCTCAACTCTGTCTAGAGACCCTCTTGATATCCCACAGCTCGGCTCCGTGCACGGAGGTGTTGCTTCAGTTGATGGTGAACCAGTAGGACTCACCTCAGTAGGACAGACGCCAGTCAAGGCAGACAGTGTGAGCCTTGCCCTCGCGCAGCCTCGAGTGTGAATCCTGACGGCCCAGCCTGTGTGGGCCAGCCACTCACCTTTCCGCTTCTTGTTTTTCTCAGCCACAAAATGGGCTTCTTCTTTCCAGCTAGCATGGTTTTATGAGGTTCCATGGGACCGTGCCTGTAATGGGCTCAGAACAGTGCCTGGCATGTTGTAAGAGCTCAGTGAATGGCAGCTGCTATGTGGATCCCCCCCCCCTTCCCATGTCTTGGAAAAAGCGGGCTGGTTGAGATTCCCCCACCGCAACACACACACACACACACACACACACACACACACGCAGAGCACAGGGAGCTCTCTGCTGACTCATTTTCTCCAGAAGACCCTTTGCCAGAGTAGATGCCAGTGGTTGAGCAGAAAAGTGGTGCCAGGCGGGTACCCGATAGTGGGGCCCAAGCTTTGGGCAGCCGACAGCCCCAATGCTTGGAGGGCAGCCTCTGCCTCTCTGCCTTCCTCACCAGGCGTGGACTGGAATCCTGTGCTCTTTGGCTCTAGCACGCCTTCCAGCCCTACTCTGTCCCCTTTGGCCAGCCTGGGCTCCATGACCCTATTACAGAGCACACCCCTGGCCTCTGCCGGCCTTTCCTGTCCGCCCAGTGCTTGGAACTTTCTCCTTCCCTGGTGCTCACATGCCCACTGTGCCTCCATGGCCATCCGCCCCACTAGGGTGTCCTGGAAGGGGCCTGCCCTCCGAAGGTGGCCCATTTTCTGTGCCCCTTTCTGAGCACTCCCCCTGTTCCTTGGTCACATGTTCTCCCCCTCAACTCTGTCTAGAGACCCTCTTGATATCCCACAGCTCGGCTCCGTGCACGGAGGTGTTGCTTCAGTTGATGGTGAACCAGTAGGACTCACCTCAGTAGGACAGACGCCAGTCAAGGCAGACAGTGTGAGCCTTGCCCTCGCGCAGCCTCGAGTGTGAATCCTGACGGCCCAGCCTGTGTGGGCCAGCCACTCACCTTTCCGCTTCTTGTTTTTCTCAGCCACAAAATGGGCTTCTTCTTTCCAGCTAGCATGGTTTTATGAGGTTCCATGGGACCGTGCCTGTAATGGGCTCAGAACAGTGCCTGGCATGTAGGAGCTCAGTGAATGGCAGCTGCTATGTGGATTATTATTCACTTCATCTTGAATGGGCGTGTGAGTCAATGGGAAAGTTCTGGGCTGTGTCCTGGCCAGACAGATGACCCATCTGTGTTCCCGTGCAGTAGGGGTAAGGTGTGAAAGAAGGAGACCGGGTGTGGTTGTCTGGGCACATGGGGCCTGGCCAGTCCATGGGAGCAGGTGGGACAGTTCCGCCCCTCTGCTGCCCTGTAGTTCGTGGCCAGCTTAGGCCCTGGGAGAAGAGCCAAGCCCAATGTGCAAGGAACCACCTTCCTTGAGAGTTTCCATGCCCTGGTCTCAGCCCTGCACCCTCTGCAGACATTCGTGCTGGTCTGGGTCTCCAAGTCCTGTGTGTTTTCAGGTAACAAGGATGGAGGAAAAAGCATCAGGCAGGCTGCAGGTCCTGGCAGCCCAGTCATCCCGGGGAAGCCACATTTAGTGCGCTGGCACAGGGCCCTCTGCAGGGAGTAGAACGCCTGGGCTTCCTTCTCGGAGGGCTGTGTGGCCAGGCTGTTTCCATTGCTCCCTTCCTTGTGGCTCCTGTTTCGCCGGCCTCCTGCCCTCTCTGGTCCCTGCACTCTGGTCTTCCCGACATTCCGGAGCCCGGGGTTCACAGAGCCAGGGCCCACGAGGCCGTGGTGAAAACAGAAGTCTGGAAGAACAAAGGCCCGAGCCAGCACAGGCACTAAACGTTACTAGCAGTAGCCTAAACAGGATTGGAACGGCAGCACAGAGTTGGCCGGGCCTCCCTCCGGGAGCCAACTTTCCAGGCCTGGAGCTTACTTAGATGGCTCCTTGGCTCCCTGAGCTGCATCTCTGCTCCTGGGGGTGAAGGCTGGGGCTCAGGGCTCTGGCAAGTTGGAAGTCTCTGCGAGTCTCTGATTTCTTCTCCATGGGAGATGAGTCAAATGAGAAGGACCATTCAGTGGCAGAGTCGAAGTGCTGTGTGGTTTTAGGTGAGTCACTTCCTTTTCTGGGCCCCAGTTGCCCAGCTTTGCAAAGAAGTGATGGAGCTGGAACCTGAGTCAGGAGAGGATTGCGAAGGGCTTTCTCCCACTCAGACATACCCTCTGTTTGGGCACTGTAGGGGTCAAGGGCACACAGAATCCCAGGTCTGAGGGGACAGGCGTATCTATCAGTGTGAATGAGTGGGAGCTGAATGCTTTTGTACCAGGCCTTCGGGGCTGAAATTCTCAAGGTAGAAGCCATGGTGTTAGGAAGCTGAACTGAAGAGACTCTACCTCCATCCACCTTGTGAGTCTTCTTTCTCTTGACCTTTGGGGGTGAAAATACCCCCCACCCCACTTGGCCCTCTGATTCTCTGTAGCGCAGTTTGACACCACCACGTCCAGAAGAGAGGTCCTTGCCCTACTCGCTCCCACTAGGCCCCTCTTCGTCAGCTTGGGAAAACATCCCAAGAAGAGTGGAGGTGTCATTAATGCAGTGAAGGACGGAAGGAATACGGACCAGTGCCAGGAGAGGGCCAGAAGAGAGGAGGCCGGGAGGCAACGGGACAGACACTAGAGGAGTCGCAGGAACACAGGAGAGGAACGGTGTGCTCGGAGGAGGTCTCCTCTGTTCCCTGATCCTCTTTATTTGGAGACGGCTGAGTGATAGGACGCACAAGGTCTTTATGGCAGGACTTCTCAGAGCCTTTTGGTATGCGGCTGTGCTCCAGGGACTGTCTAGGCTGGGTTGTAAGAGATAGCTCTTCCTTCTCCAAGATAGCAGCCGCAGATTCCTGGAGTACCTCCCCAGGGATGTAAGAAAGAGTACCGAGGAGTTGGGAACCTAGAGCTTGTCCAAGGTGGCCTTGAGGAGGAGATGGAGGCCCTCTGTTTTCCCCGCACATCAAATAAAACCCAACTCCTCTCATTTCGTTCCAGGACCAGTGGGCTGCCATTTGCGTCAGGTGGACAGGTCATGTCAGGAGGGTGGGCCCCGCCCCTGCCCTTCTCTCCAGGCAACTCCGCGGCATGGAGGCACTTGGATCTTCAGTCCTTCCCCACAGAGACCCCAGGGAAAAGACATGTTCCCGGCAGCCGCAGCAGATGGAATAGAATGGGGTGGGGCAAGGATTACCCAGGAACGGTCCTGGGGATTTAGGGCTTTGGGAAGACACTGTGTAAAGTCCAGGGTCCTGTAATGCCAGGTAATCTTTATTCATCTTGGAAAACGTGTGCTGGATACTTACTAATATGGGCGTGAACAAGACAGATAGCCTTGCCTTTCAGGGACCTGGTCTTGAAAGGGGAATAGGAAAATAGAAAAAGGCACCCTCTGTGCCCCAGTGACACCTGAGCTGGGATCGTAAAGCTGTGCAGTAACTGCCCAGGAGAGGAGTGTTCTAGATGACGGGAGCAGCCCGTGCAGAGGTCCCGAAGCTGGAGAAGGCTTTCAAGGGACTGTCGTCAGTCTTGTTTTAGCCAGTTTGCTTTATACTGCGTGGCCGAAGACCTAACTTAATCTGGTTTAAGCAATCAAAGGGGTTACTATTTTCCCTATCAAGAGGGCCCAGGGAAGAAGAGTACTAGAGTTCAGTTAGCCTCTCCACAGTGTCATCAAATACCCACTATTTTTTGTATTCTGACATGGGCTTGTTATCTCATGTGCACAAAATGGCTGCAGCTCCTCGAGCAGTATACCCTCACTCAATAACACACAGAGTCCAGTAGAAAACCTTTCCTTTGGGAACACTTTCCCAGGGCCCCTGGTAGGCATCCCTCACCTCTCCTTGGCCACAGTTGCATGCCTAAGTCAGTTATTGGCAGGGCGAATGAAATTCCCAGGATCGGCTTAGACTTACCCAGATTGATCCAGTATCCTCTGAGGTCCATGCCTGTCTGGAAGGAAGGATGGCTGTGGACAGGTAACGACCTTTCACAGGGCCCAGGGCATCACGGTTGGTGGCCGCAGTCAACTGTGAATGTCCAGGAGGCTGGCAGACAGGATAAGCGTGTCCTCTGAGGTGCCCAGGGAGCCCTGGGAACCGGGGGCTCCAAACCTCGGCCCTGGTAGATGGGTTTCCTGGGTCACATGCTTCCCAGAACCATGCCATCCTAGCTTAGCTCTTGGAAATGGATCCTGGGACTCTGGCCCAGCCTCACCATCCCCACCCGCCCGGGGCGGCATTCTCTACTTGGGTCCCGGCTGTCTCTGGCCACGTGCCCCCTCTTCTCCGCCCGCCTGGGGATCAGATGCCCTGGGTGGCTTCAGGTGTCCCCGGCGGCTGCTCCCACAGGAAGGTGAAACCAGATCATCATCTCTGCCCGTCTTGGCAGCAGCCACCGAGTGGAGCGTTAACTCTTCCTGGCCCCGGAGTGCAGGGACAGCAGGGACTGTCCCCGGAGCACTTTCGTGGCTGGCAGCAGGCCAAGACCACGACAGGCATGAGCTCATTAGTCCTGACGCCTGGCCTGCAGGATGGGGAGTGCTAGCCCATGCTGCAGACGAGGCAGGCTCAGGGAGCCTGGGACTCCCTGGGTCACACAGGCTGGTGCACGCCGGGGCCACGTTTGCACCTGGCCCTGGGGACTCCCCATCTCTCCTGTTCTCTCTACCTCTTTCCATCAGCATCCAGCCAGGTAGGCAGCTGCCTTCACACAGCCATGTGCCCCTGCTGGAGTTCGGCACTGGTCCTGGGGTGCAGGTCTTCTCTCTCCTGATCTTTGAGCAGGTCCAGTCTGGTCATTCCACTGACCTTTCACCCCTGGCTTTGCCGCCCATTGGCTGTGGTCTTGGGAAGGGTCTCAAGATCGTGAGGCCATAGTGAAGATGGGGAGACTGAGGCCCAGAGACAGAGATGAGTTGGCCCCTGACTGCCCAGAGTCAGCAGCAGATTTTTAAGCTGGACCCTGGCTCTTCTGACACCCAGGGTGGGGCTTCCTGGCTGCCGCTTCCTGCCCTGTGACCTTGGCTTATCGATCTGTAAAGTGAGGTCGGGTTTGTGTGGTGTAAGCAGGTACAGCCCGAGAGGCTGCGCCTGGGGGCCTGGGCTGTCCATATGGGGTCCTGGAACCTGTACCTTGCTTCCTGCCTCCCATGGATGAGACTAGGCCTGGGCTCCCTGGGCCGGATCTGGGCACGATCGGTGGAAGCTGATGCCCTGTCTGCTTGTGTCTCTCGGTCTCTAGGGGGTTTCTCTTCACCTGGATCTTAGTCGCGTTTGCCTGTCACCTGGCCTCCGCCCAAGGAACTCCTGAAGGTAATTTTCTCTTTTCTTTGTCCAGGGGCAGACAAAGGAGGACGGAAGGGGCCTGAAAGTCAAGGGGTGGGAGACGTCTGTGTCCCTAACTAGGACTCTGTTTGCCCATGGGTAGAACGGAGTGGATCCTTGGCAAGGTCTCTACAGCCTTCAGAGAATCACATTTAAAGTTTCCCAAGAGATGGAAAGAACTCAGTGCAGAGATGTGGATGGACAACCCCCATCTTCCTATCTGGGACAGAATCGAAATAAATCACTTTGGTTCAGGCAGCCTCAGTGCCTCCTCTCTGTCTAATGGGTACTCTCAGAGCTGCTGAGCAAGGGCACTAGAAGGCCACGGCTGTCACTGACCAAGCCTGAGATCCCGCCCCTGTCCGTGAGGTCCTGTTTTTCCCTCCTGCCCCAAGGAGCTGTCCAGGGGGCAGGGGCTGCCGTGGGCTGGCTACACAGCTGTCCGTGGAAACCGAAACCTCTCCCACATCTGTTTGTCAAGCAGCCACAGCGCCTCTTAAAATAGCCTCCCAGCCCCCTCTTCCACGCCAGGCCTGTGTGCTAGAGCAGGCGGCCGGGCATCTGGGAGTCCCTGTGGCCTGACCTGGCCACTCGGCAGAGATTGGGCCCTTGGGAGGGGAGGGCTGGGCCCGGAAGAGACTTCTGCTGCCCTGCAAATTTTGTGCAAATGTCATATTTTCCAAGCTTGCTGTTTCCCTCACAAAGTAGGTGAACAGCTGTCCAGAGTCCTGACTCAGGCACTGGGGGTTGGGGGGAGGGTTGGGGGCCGGGGAGAGGCCGGAGCTGTGTGGAGCCAGGTTTATGTAATAAAGGGCTCTTGCTGGGGCCAGCTGGCTAGGCTCTTCCATCTTGGCGTGGGGTTGAATTCACTCCCCCGTTCCCCGTCTCTTTGTCCCGATGGGTTTCTGGATGTTCCATTGTGTCTGAGAGGCTCTCGAGCGGTCTAGCCTAGTGGTTAAGAATGAAGACCCCAGGGCCTGGTGATCGGGGTTCACACTCCAGCTGTACCATTGACAAGCCACATGATCTTGGGCGAGTGATTCTGTCTAACTCTCTGAAGCTCATCTACATGGGCGTGATAAAGAGTACCTGCTTCAGTCACAGCTGAGGGAAGCAACTGAGATAACGCATATAAAGCAGCTGGTATACAGTACGTGCTCAATACATTTTGTGTTTATTGTCATTAATTATATCACGAAGCTGAAAAGTTTAGGCAAAGAACAGAGCTTCCCCATCCCATGGGGCACCCAGGGTTAGAGACCAGGCAGCTCAGCGCCGACCACCTCTCAGCTCCAGGGGTCAGAGCTGGGGTTCTTACTGCTTAGCTGCAGATGTTTTTTGGGGGGGTCCTGGAAACCAGCTGGTCATTGGCTTTGAAACCCACCAAGAGAGGATAAGGGAAAGCTCAACTGTGCCACCTGCCTGAGGGGATCCTCGGGGCAGTTGGTGGGGTGAGGGGGAGCAGGGCAGGAGACTTCCTACTCCACCTCTTCCCCAGCCAGGCAGCCCCTCCCTTTTGGAAATTGTTTATAGTGAATAGCATTTCATGGTAACAAGCAGGCATCTGTGATTAAGCATGGAAGACATGCTCCTGCTAAGGGAGTCCTTCAGCAGTGGTTCATTGTGGCTTCGAACCTGGAGACAGACAGAAGTGGGATAGCATGGTGGTTCAGGTGCTGGATTCCCACATAAGTGGATCGTGGTTCGAGTCTCGGACCCAGTGGCTTGACAATCACAACAAATAACTAGATAAGTAAATAAATACATGTTTTTTTAAAAGAAGAAAAAATGGGGGAAAGGGTGGAAAGGAGAAAGTTGAAGTGAAATGTAAGGGCCTTGGGTCCTACAGGACAAAGAGGGTCTTGACCTTGAGCCAGTCTGAAGCAGCAGCCTGGAGCTCCAGAACTCTTAGAGCAGCATCAATACTTTGTCACCTTCAGCTCCAATTCAGCCCCCTGGCCTTACAGGCAGGGACACTGAGGCCCATGGGCCATAACTCGAGCAGAGTAACCTGGTGTAGGGCTTGGTGAGGAGCCCCATTTTTTTTTTTTGTAATGAGATTTTTTGCTATGGGGCACACATGCTCACCGAAGAGACAGAGAGATAGAAAGTGAGAAACCACCCCCCAGGAGCGAAGGCCATGCTGCAATCCCTTCTCCTCCATTTACCTCTTGGGATTTTGGACATGCACACACATGCACCTGACATGAGTTTTAAGCTGCCGAGTCTGGGACTTGAACTGCGGTCGATTATGTGAGAACCCAACGATGTAACCATTACACCATCTGCTGGTGCCCCTTATAGCCCCATTTTACTGGTGGTCCTGTTAGGCTTTCAGTCTTGACTTTCTCGCCAAGAGCCCACTGTGGAGTCATGTTGCCAGCACCCAGGTCCTCAGTTTCCCCGAGGGGCCCATCTGTCTGTCCGTCTGTCAAGCCGTCTCACAGCTGTCAACTGTGAGTCTATTACGTGCAAGAGCTGCATCTGGCCGCCAGCATAGCCCTTGCACCGCTGAGAGGAGAGTGTTGAGCACTCGAGGACCAGCTTGCTGAGCTTGGGGCAGGGCCCTGAGTACGGCCCCGACCTCCATTCCAGAAGCAGCCTCTCTGTCCCTGCCGGGACAGGCCTCCTGCGGACACTGGCACTTCGGCCAACTTCAGGAGGTCGAATGACCCGGGAGAGGCAAGGTCAGGAAGCCTTTCCATAAACACTCTGGGAACCCTCCTTTTGCTCTGGCAAGCCCTGCCGACATAATTATTGGGCGGATGTGACCTGGCCAGACCATGCCTGGATGTCCAAACGCTTCGCCAGAGGACAGAGGTTGCAGGGACGCCTTGATGACTTCCCGGCCTCTCCCCAAAGCCACACAGGGAGGACTCACCTCCCTCTTGGTAGCAGATAGAAGCTTCCCTCCTCGCTCTGACCAGGGAGAGACTTTAAGGGTGGAAAGGGGACTGAGTGGGCCCCTGAGGATGTGAGGAGACCAGTCAGGTCCCTGGATATCCTCACCAAGCCCTGATGACACATCTGCTCCTGTCACCCTGGGCCCTGGCTGTGGGTCTGTTTCCAGGAAGAGACAGCTTTTTTTTTTTTTTTTTTTTTTAAGAGGTTTTTGCTATAGGGCCCACGCGCTTGCCAGACAGACAGAGAGAGACAGAGAGACAGAAAGCAAGAAATCACCCCCCAGGGGGGATGGCCACGCCACAATCCCTTCTCCTCCATTCTCCTCTCGGGATCTTGGGCACGCACGCACACGCGCCCGGTGTGAGTTTTAAGCCACCGGATCCGGGACGCGAACTGCGGTCGACCATGTGGGAGTCCAGCGACATAGCCATTACGCTAACTGCTGGTCCCTCCAGGAGAAGATGGCTTTTGAGGTATCAGAAAGGGGTATAATGAGTCATTGCCGGGCAGCCTTAATGCTCTTAGCGGTAGCGTTTAGTGACTGTCACAATTTTTAATATTAGTAGCTATCATTTGAATGTGCTTATTTATAAGTGCCAGGCCCTTTTTAAAAAATGTATTCACTCATCTAATTGTCATGACATCCTTCTTGTCATGACATCCAACCATGATGTTGGTGCTATTGGGTTGTTGGAAAAGTCATGAAGTATTTTTTCTTTTTCTATGTAAATATGTGTCATCATGACTGTTCCGATAGCCCAATATTATTACCCCATTCAATCGCTGGGAAAACTGAGGTGCTACAGTCACAGCATTAGTAAGTGGCACAACTGGGATTTGATCCCAGGAAGTTGGCTCCAGAGTCTCTGCATGTATGTGTTTCAGGTCGGTCTTTATTTCTTCCATGAGAGGGAGAGATACAGGAAGAGAGTGAGAGATATTCCCGATGGGATCTCCACTTCCAGCTTCAGCTGGCCTGGATCACAGGCATGCAGGTGTGCTTGGCATGTACAGGGAAGCTGGTGTCACTTTAACCGTGATCTGGAGCAGCCAAATGAGGGCTTGGGGTCCCCTGGTGGCCCCCCCGCTGCACTCTGGGTTGTCGCCCGCTACTTACCTGTGAGATGAATGAACAGAACACCAGGGAGCCGCGAGGGGCCACCCATGTTGCCCAGCAGGGGCACGGGTGGAAGCAGCCCTGACGGTGCCTTCCCCTCTTCCCTCCCTCAGATGTGGACGTCCTGCAGCGTCTGGGTCTCAGATGGACGAAGGCAGGAGCGGGCCGGAGCCCCGTGCCCCCAGGAGTCATTCCCTTCCAGTCGGGCTTCATCTTCACGCAGCGGGCCCGGCTCCAGGCGCCCACGGCCGCCGTCCTGCCCGCCGCCCTGGGCACAGAGCTGGCGGTCGTGCTGAGCCTCTGCTCGCACCGCGTGAACCATGCCTTCCTCTTCGCTGTCCGCAGCCGGGAGCGGAAGCTGCAGCTGGGCCTGCAATTCCTCCCTGGCAAGATGGTGCTGCACCTGGGGCCCCGGCGCTCCGTGGCCTTCGACCTCGACGTGCACGACGGGCGCTGGCACCACCTGGCCCTGGAGCTGCGCGGCCGCACAGTCACCCTGGTCACGGCCTGCGGGCAGCGCCGGATGCCAGTTCCACTGCCTTTCCACAGGGACCCGGAGCTGGACCCCGAGGGCTCCTTCCTCTTTGGGAAGATGAGCCCACATGCGGTTCAGTTTGAAGGCGCCCTGTGCCAGTTCAGTGTCCTCCCCGTGACGCGGGTCGCTCACAATTACTGTACCCACCTGAGAAAGCAGTGTGGCCAGGCCGATGCCTACCGGCCCCAGTTGGGACCCCTCCTCCCCCAGGACGCTGGCAGATCCTCCCCCTTCCAGACAGACCTCGCCCGGCTAGGCCTGGAGAACTTGACCACTGTCACACCTGCCCTGGGGTCAAGGGCAGCAGGCAGGGGGCCCAGGGTGACTGTGGTGCCCACCATGGCCACCAAGCCCCACAGGACTAGCCCCACAGACCCTCACCAGCATCTCACAGCTGAAGCCCCAGCTCGGACCCCCCTGCCACCTGCCAAGCTCCCAGCGAGTAAAGCACTTCCCCGGCTGCTCCCAGCCTCAGTGGCTGCTTCAGCCAGAACTGCCCCCTCTGCGGCCTTGTGGAAGATCACAGCCACCCAGATGCCCCGAAGTCCCCCCACCAAGCCGTCAGCCCCTTCTGCTCCTGTTGTCCCTGCCCAAAACCCCCATCGTGACCTTAAAACAGCTGCACCTTCATCCACGAGGTCAGCCCCACCCACCCAGAAGCCAGTGCTGCCCACGTCCCTCCCAGCTCCTGCCAAAGTCTTGCGTCCTGCTGGGAAGCTGGGGCAGAGACCCCCACCACCCAGTGCCCAGCCCCTTCTTCCCACTGCTGGCTCCGTGAGAAAGCCTGTCCCCACAGTAGCCCAGACCGAGGCCAGGTTGACCAGTCGTGCCAGTAAGCCAGCCTCTGCCAGCACCAGCACCCACACAGCTCCCTGGACCACCATTTTGTTGCCATCTCCTGCCCCCCATCCTGGCTCCACCAGGACCACTCAGCCACCAGCCTCTGTGGTACCTCCTGCCTTGGGCACCAGAACCCCCAGAACAGCACCACCCACCCTCGATCCTGGCTCAGCCCCCACTGGAAGCAAAAAACCTACTGGATCAGAAGCCTCAAAGGAAGCCGGACCTGAGAGAGGCCTCCGGAAGCCAGTCCCCTTCGGACCTGGGAAGGCAGCTGGGGACGCCCCTTTGAACCATCCAACGACCAGGCCCAGCCCCAGACAGCCCCCGGCCACTCGGCACACCACCCCAGCCCTGGTGTTGGCCCCAGCACGCCTCCTGTCCTCCAGTCCCCGGCCCACGAGCAGTGGATACTCATTCTTCCACCTGGCAGGACCCACGCCTTTTCCTCTGCTGATGGGGCCTCCCGGGCCCAAGGGAGACTGTGGTCTGCCGGTAAGACATGGTGGGGCCTGCATGCTGCTTGGAGCTCGGGTGGGTGAGTGGGCAGTTTGGTCCTGGTAAAGGCAGGGGAGAAGAGCAGCTTAGCGGGTGCTGGCTGTGGGCAGTCTTGCCACGAACCCAGTCCCTGACTCCTTGGGCTCTGCGCTCTCCCTTAGCGAACATCCTGCTCCAGTTTCATGATCCACTGGGACAGACTCAGGTCTGGTGGCCACTCCCAGGCAGAGAGCACTCTGGGCTTTTGGCGGCCCGGGTCCATGGTCATTCTTTGCTAACCGGATAGCAGAGACCAAGCGGTTTCAGGAAAGCACTGACCAACCCCGGCTGTGCAGAGTGCACTGGGCAGTGGCCACGGCCCAGCTCCTCTAACTCCTGGAACAATGCTCCTGTGGCCCATCGGAGTTGTGGACAGAGATCACGCCTGGGTAGCCCGGGACGTGTTTTGTTTGGCACACACAGCACTCTTTAAAAAAATCGAATAAGTTACTAGCATTTAAAAAATGTCAAAGATTTCTTATAAAAGGATTGGCAACCAGCATCTCTTGGGAAGTGGGAGATGGGGTGGCCTTCGCTGTCCCTGTAGATGGGACAAACCCATTCCCTTCGGCACGGTCCTCATGTCCCCTAGTTGAATCTTCAAGCATCCTTTCACCTGTTGATGAGACCTGCCTGCTGGCACCTGGAGGCATTTGGTTTGTGGGTCCTGGCAGAGGAGTTTGAGATGAGGAAGGTCAGCCAGAGCGAACGAGCAAAGGAAAAAGAAAGAACATTCCATGTGCAGGAGAGGGTCTCGGGGTTGGTGCCTCCGGCTTGCCTGGGACCGTCTCCAGGGGCAACGACCTTCCCACAGCTGGAGGCCAATTCCTCCGGGTGGGGAATGATGGGATAGAGTTTTTAGAAGGGACAGGCCTCCGCTCTGCTCCCTTCCTGCCTCGGAGATGACCACGGCGCACGGTGGCCTGCTCCCTGCTGCTGGAGCCGCAGCTCCCACTGGGCTCTGTGTTGGAGGTTAGGGCTCCCTACGATGTGGAGTTGGTGGCAGACGCTGGGAATTCCCGGGTCTTACAAACACGCTTAATGAGTTTTAATAATCATTAGGAATAATATTTATTCAGCCTGTCTCCAAGGGGACTGAGAGGCCGCTTTTATTATAACCATATTGTAGAACTTATGGAAATTATATGCATTGCTTTGCAATTATGTCAACATTATGCTCAGATTCCATGTTCTGGAATTGGCAGTGTAGAGAGCTGGGAGCCACCGCTTTCCCGAAGAAAGAACAGGGAATCCTTTCAACCCCTCCTAGCTACCTGGCCCGACTCTGGCTCTAGGCTCTTTGGGCCTGACCACTGAGCTTCCCGAGCTGTGTGTGCACAGAGGAGGGTGGTGAGCCACAGGGTTTCCACTCTGGCTACGCAGGTGGCTGGCCACCCCTCCCCAGGGCGTGTGTGGGGTGGAGAGAGGAGAAGGCCACGTCTGGGCGAGCAGAGCTGGAGCAGGAGTGACTTCCTGCAGTGCAGAGTATGCCTTTGGGCCTACTGTGTGCCAGAACTGCATACTTTGCCCTGGGCCCGGTGCTCTGGGTCAGCAGGATGTGAGGCCTCCTGCCAGACATCTATGTGCTTCAAAACATCAAAGAAAGCACCGAGTTCCTGGCCAGCTGATGCATGTTTAGGGCCCATTGGGTTCAGCCCTCATCCTTGGGCAGGTGAGGAGGTAGGTGATTGTGCCCAGAGAGGGCAAGGCTTGTCTGAGGTCACACAGCATGTAGAAAGTCGAGTTGAAGTTGACGTCCCTGACTCTAGACTCCAAGACCAGCAAATTCCATTCCACTCCTCTGAGTATCTACTCTGAGGCTCTGGGACCCAGGACTGGGGGCTTCAGAGATGAGTCAGGCCCTGTCCTTAGCCTCCACGAAAGGACTCAACATCTAAACGAATCTCTAGCTTCTGTACTCAGTTTCACGAGCTGCTTCCACCTGATTGGCGTCTCCCTTGGGACTTGTGGCAGTGGGTGCAGGAGGGCAGGACAAGTGTGCAGATCCCCACCCTCCAGGTGCTCTGATGGGCGGAGCGGTAGAGGACTTGGCCGAGGGCACCTGGTATGTTCTGAAGGAGCCAGTCGGCAGCCCTGGGTCCCCGATGTCCAGCTGAGAACAAGGGTCTTCCTGCTCCTCCAGCCCTCACGGATGGCATCCACCATGGTCAGCGGGCACCCCTGCCTTATGCCCATGCTGTCTCTGCCACCAGCCTCCCCCAGCTTAGAACCTAGCCTCACTCCAATAGCACCCCAGAAGCTGCTGGAATCTTTGCCTGTGTGGTGACCAGCCTCTTCCTATTTACTGGATACCAGAATGATACAATGGAAGCGGCTGTCGGTGCCATGGACTCCCATTCCGTCTGTATTTCCTGATCCTCCCTGACCCCATGTGTTGGGTCTTCAGGAAAGTCATGATGTATTTGCATAGAGAAATGTGTCAGGAGTTTCCTGACGACCTAATACTTTAGGATCTAAGCCCAGCAGGGCCGGAGCTGTGCTGCCCTGGACACAGGGCTTACTTATCCCCATGTGGGGACCCAGAGACCGGGGCTCCAGTGCTGGCCGCTCCACCCCTGGCTAGTGCTATGACTCCGATCCACTCTGAGCCTCAGTTTCAGTAGATATAAGAATAGCTCCCACCTGCCGCGCAGGGAGGAGGGGCGGCCTGAGGATTTGCAGACACCGAACACAAAACTACAGTTAAGGAAGCCAGGAGGGTGCTCGCCTCTAGGTTTGCTGAGTGACTTTGCGGGAGTCTTCCCCCTCTTGGCGCTCAGTCTCCCCTCTCACAGGGCATTGAGAATCTCTCCCTGAAAAATGACAGTGGGACCTTGCCATGCCCGAGACGGGTGCAGGGGTTGTGTGTGCATGCACAGACCTGCCGCCCAGTTCTCGAGGGCACGAAAATGGCTGGCAGAGGCAGAGACAGAGTTCTGGGCTGAAGCCTGCCAGGAGCCGTAGCTGCCGAGTGAAGGAGCTCTGTGGGAGCCTCGGGGGGGGGGCATGGAAAAGCTGAGCTTGGCCCCGAGTGAGTTGGGGCGGGGAGGCCACGGTTCACAGAGGCTGCACAGAAGCTGCACAGAAGCCCCGCGCCTGGGAGGAGGCGAGTCAAGGCCTTATTTATTCACGATCGGGCCGCTGGCATTTGCACACACTTGCACTTTCCGCAAGCGTCACCTCAGGGAGACCCGGCTGAGGGCCTGGCCTGCAGCAGATATTCTGTCACTATCTGTGAAATCAATCAAAGAATTTGCTCCTCACCCAAACCAGGTTGTCCCTACTCCCAGGTCAAGCTCCTTGAGGCTACACAGAGCTCTCCTGCCAGGGCAACGAGGAGGCCGTGTATTGGGTCGTCTGAAGAGTCATGACATAGTTTTGCAAAGAAAAACAGAAAAATCCATTATGACTTTTCTGACAGCCCAATATAATGCAAAAGCTTGTGCACTTGGGATTTGGAATGACCTGGATTGGAACCATTCCTTCTCTGCCCAGCTGTTGATTGAGAGCCTTCTTCATGCCTGGTGCTGTGTGACCTTTGATAAGTCACTTAACCTCTCTGAGTCTTAGTTCTGCCACCACCTACCTGTTAGGATGGCTGTGTGGAGTCAGTGAGATGAGGGATGTAGAGCAGCCGGCAGTAGAATCCGGGTCCTTATAGATTGCTGAGGCCGCAGCTATGAGCTTCTGGTGGGTGCTAGGGGGGGATGTTGCTGTGTCCGGTGAACAGGAGAGTCTGGGCACAGTGTCACATTAGCTTGCAGAGCGGACTCACCTAATCAGGGCTGTCCATGGTGCAGGCGTGGTTCAAGTGCAGATCCCCACCCTCCAGGTGCTCTGGACAGGAGGATGAGTGGACAGGAGGATCGCTCACTTGTCAGCTGGGTAGCAGGGGCTTGGGGGCAGGCCTGCCCCATTTCCCCACCTCCATACCCTCGGCTTCTTTCATAGCTTCTTGACTCATTTTCATTAGTTTGTGTTCCCAACAGCCCCAGGGCGTGACTGGAGGGGCATCTCTTGGCATCTCTAGGGCCTTCGTACTTTTGGCGGTTAGAAATTGGGGTGGGGGCAGCAGGTGGCATGGAGGTTAAGGTAACAGGATCTGGGGACCAGCAGTTGGTGCAATGGCTATGTCGCTGGACTCCCATGTAGTTGACGGTGGTTTGAGTCCCGGACCCGGTGGCTTAAACTCACGCCGGGTCCATGTGTGTATGTGCCCAAGACCCCGAGCGGAGAATGGAGGAGAAGGGATTGCGGCGTGGCCATCCTCCCTAGGGGGTGATTTCTTGCTTTCTGTCTTTCTGGCAAGCACACGCGCCCTGTAGCAAAAGCCTCTCCAAAAAAAAAAAGGATAACTGGGTGGCTCTGCGGTTCGAGCCCCAGACCCGGTGACTGAAAAACATGCTGGCTATGTGTGCATGCATGCCCAAAATCCCGAGAGGAGAGGGATTGCTGGCCATCCCCCTGGAGAGTGATTTCTCACTTTTCCTCTCTGTCTCCCCTGGTGAGTGCACATGCCTTATGGCAAAGATAAAAAAAATTAAAAATGAAAGAAAGAGAGAGTGAAAGGAAGAAAAGGTAAGAAAGAAATCGGGGTTAGAACTTGAGAAATCCCCTTTACACCAGCATCACCCAGAAGTGAGGAGACTAGAGGCCGTTTTGCTTGGTCTTTAGCATATCATTTCCAGCGCTTGCTGTTAGCTGGCCTGATGGCTCCAGGTTCCTTGGGGGATTAAGGAAAAGACTAGGGAGCTGTGAGTAGCACCCAAGGAACCAGCAGGGGGCCTAGCAACAGCAGGACACTGCTACCACACCCAGGCCTGCAGGGCCCGGCGGTGGAGGGAAGGGTTAACCAGAACCCAACAAGAGTTAAGACCTTGAGCAAGGGGCTCCAGACAGGAGCTGGGGACGTGCAGCTGCACAGTTGCCGCCAGACTACACAGGGCGGGGAGACAGCCTGCAGAGAAATGCCCCACTCCCTCTCTCCTACTCTGCAGTCCCTTCTCAGGGTCTCCAATCGGCGGAACCCCACGGAAGCCAGAGTGCAAGGAAGCACAGGGCTGCCATGTGTAAGAGGCCAGGGGGCGCAGAATGGTCGGGGGAGCAGATGGAGAATTATCGGTGGCGCTCCCACATATTATCTCAGAAGATGAGGGTCACTCCCCATTTCACAGCTGGGCAGACTGAGACCGGGAGGCACAGGGAGCTGAAGTAACTCACTTGAGGCCACACAGAACTGAATTCCTACTGAGAAACTATCCCAGTGGATCCTCCCCTAGAACAGAGACTGGGGAAGGCACAGGACCCTGTGAGCTCAGATGCTCAGAGATAGGAGTAGCTTTGAGACCCCCACCCACCCCCAGCAGGCCCCAGGCACAGAGCAGAGACCCAGAGACCGAAGGGCCCTTGCTCAGGGTCACATGGCAGCTAGCAGCATGCTCAGGCCTGGGCTCCAGTCTCTCCCGTCCCAGGCCTGTAAAATCTCTCCCTGCTAGCTGCCAGGGGAGATGCCAAGACAGACTGCTCTCTGAGAGGCTTGGCAGGAGGGCTGTTGCAGCTGGACACAAGGGTGGACTTGTTCCATGGGATGGGGTTCCCCTAGGCCTGGCTGTCAGGCCAGGACCCTTGGGGGAAGCCCCGGGGCGGGGTCTGCATGGCTGTTTCCATCGCTCTGTTTGCGTGAGCCTGGGGCCAGGCCTCCTCCACCTCCCCCAGATAGGCCTGCCGCCCCCGCTCCCCTCCCCTCCGCTCCTGGCCCTTTCAGAGGCCCCGTTGTTTGCGGCGTGGAGTGGAAAATCCCACCCCAGCCTCGTGAATCATCCCAGAGTCACCCGCTCAGGCTTCGAGGCCTGGAAAGAGATGGCAGCGTTTTTCCACTGTATGGGAACAGGCAGGGTCTCAGGACAGATTGGCGAGGGGGGACTGGGGGTGCCCACCCTTGCTCGCTCACTAACAGAGTGGGTGAGCCCTGATGAGGAAGGGTCAGGCCCATAGCTGGAACCAGAGATGGTGGCCCCGGCCCGGGTTGGTAGAGTGAAGGGGACCACAGCCGGGACTGCAGCCAGGCCTGGGCTGTCGTGTCAGGGCGTCAGGCCTGGGCAGCCATCACCAGGCCAGGCCGTGGGTCCCATCGGGCACGTAGAGCGTGCTCTGCAGATGTTGTGGATGAGGTCAGACTCCAGCCTGGATGCCCCCATTGCTAGGGCAGAGGAAGTGCCAGAAGGGAGTGCCCAGGTCTCTACAGCTGCTGCCCTGCCCACGTCCATGAGGGAGGGACACCCCAGAGCCTCCCTCTCTGGAGGCCTGCACGGGCCCTCCACCCCTCTGGGCCCTGGCCTTCTCTGTGGATGAGGATGATCTCTCCTCTCCTCTCCTGCCTGATAACCTAGAGGAGGAAATTCCTCCTGCCAAGGCCTCCTGCAGCTCAGGAAGCACCAGGGCTGGAATGGTCAGTGCATAGAGGGGAAGGGACTCCCCAAGGTCGCACACCTAGTCAGAGACACGCCTGGCCAGGATGTCTGTGTGGAAGCTGTCCAGGGAGACAGGCCCCATGGTCTTGGGTTTGCACCCAGGCTCGGCCTCTTCATGGCTGTGTGGACAGTTATTAAGAGTTGTTAACCTTTGACAACTTCCTTTGCCTCTCTCTGGTTTCTTGTTTAATTCCGGGTCACCTGGGAGAATTGGGCCAAGGAGGACCTTCTACTTTTTCTGACCCCAGAACCACATGTGAAGAAGGGTGGCTTAAAATGATGATTCGAGAAGGTTCCAGGCACTCAACAGAAATACCAGCTAGCATTTTTCACACGTTGACTGAGCGCCAGGCACTGGGATTAGCACTTTTTATAGATTATCTGTCGCCTGGGTGCTATTGTTGTCCTCATTTCAGTTATAGAAACAAAGACGTAGAGACTGAAGTGACTTGCCCTCAGTCACCCAGCTAGTAAGTGGGGGTGTCTGGCGTGAACCCAGGCCCCCCCTCTTCCACTGCCCTCCACGGTTCCCGCTAAAGCCAGCTGGGAGAAGAGGCAAGACTGGCCCCAAATCCCAAACCTGCAGAGCTGGGCGTAGGACCCGGGACCTCACACCCAGCCCCCAGCTCCAGATAGAGGGAAGGTGCCTGCCAATTTGGCCAGAGATTCCCGGATGTTCGGAGGTGGCTGGGATTTGTCCGAGGTCACACGGCAGCCCTGCCCCGCCCCCTCTCCCCCGGGGCTCTTGTCCAGGGACCGTGGGGCCTTGATGTTCATATCAGCTCGTCTGGATCTATCCTCTGATTTTTATTCATGGGCGAGCGAGCACGTGGTGTTCACAGGCCAGAACTGTGAGCCGAGTCTGCCCAGCGTGAGATCTGGATTAATTACCAGCCAAACCGTACTGGGTTTTCAACACCGACTTTAACTCTGGGCAGGAAACCTGGAATCTCGTTGATGGTTATTTGAAACAAATGAATTCCCCAGGCCTCACACATCCTCGAAAGCCTGGCTTCCTTCGAAGGCCCGGGCTCCGCTCTTCACGTCAGACACTGGATTAATCTCCATTCATTCCTCCGGACAGGCGGGACAGTGGCGGCTGAAACTGTTTTAAAGGGGAGCACCTGAAACTCAGGTGAAAGGCAGTCCAGAGTCCCTAGCTATTAACTAGTAAAAGCAGGATTCGAACAGAGGTCAGCTCAGGGCTTAGGAAGTCTACTGTTTCCTCCCATCCTGTGTGAAGAACAAGAGGAGGCCTGGTGCACCTAAATGCCAGCCTTCAGGGTTAGGCCATTCTCTTGTGCAAACGGGAGCCATTAAATGCTTTTGAGCAGGGGAGTGCTTTGGGAAGGTAAATGAGGCTGTGTGGAGAACTGGAGAAGGGAGGGCAGAGTGGAAGAGAAATTGGAGGCAGGAGACCAAGGAGGAGGCTGCTGCTGGGCCTTAAGGCCAGGAAACAGATGGTTGGAGTGCCCATCAATGGTCCAGGCACTGGGCTAAATGTTTACTATCTCATGTATCATCCTTGAAATAATTCCATGAGGAGGGCAGTACTGCTCCCATTTTATAGGCGGGTGGGGCAACCCACCCACGCGGTGTGGGGATTTGAACCCATGTCTGTCTGAGTCATAAGCCTGTGCTTCTGCCCTTTATGCTACATTGCCTGTCCATGGTGCAAAGATGCATGGTGTGACCTTGGCCAAGTCCCGTCTCTGCTCTGGCTCTGTGGAGAACTTGGCTGAGCCCTGGGGAGAGCGATGACTCATATCCCATTAGTTCCTTTGAGGAGAACATGATCTGATGAGAGAGAGAGTCTCCTAAGCAGACAGTTCCCCAAAGAATAGAGTGCCCATTAAAATAGAGGGAAAGATAGGACTTGACCCAACTTGGGGAAGGGTTCAGGGAAGGCTTTCTGGTGGAGGTAACATCCTGCTAAAAGATACGAATTTCAAAGTCTGAGAAACAGGAGCTGCAAAGTTCTGAAACCCCTCCAAAAGCATGAGTTCCTCAGGGCAGGGAGTTCAGGGGACCCCCATTTTCTCAGCCATGGGGTTTCCATGCCCAAAGCTCTGGACAGGATTGTTGAATGACTACTTGAACCCGTCCCCTACTGCCACTTGGTGATGTCTGATGCTGTCTTCTTACTTTCTCTTCAGGGTCCCCCCGGGCTGCCTGGGTTGCCTGGCCCTCCCGGTGCACGAGGGCCTCGGGTGAGTGATTGCATGCTGTCCTTTGGAGCTCCAGTTGGCCCCTACGTCTCACTGTGTCTGAAGTTCCAGGCTTGCTGTGTGTCCTCAGGCTCGTCCCGGTCCCTCTCTGGCACTCATTTTCCGTGTTGCCCGTCAGGGGTGAATGTAGGACTCCTGGGAGTGTCACGTGCACAAACACAGCACGGGGCAGCAGTGTGCTTCAGGTCTCAGTTGTCCATGCGGGCACCCTTCGCAGCCTGGGAAGGGAAGGGGCTCCTGAGCATGCCCTGAGCGGATGGGTCCAGTGTTTGGAATGGACCTGATGTGGGAGGATGTGAGCCTTACGTCTATGTCCTTAGGGCCCCCCTGGGGTGGGGAGGCTGACACAGGCAGCTAGATGGACCAGGCCAGGGAGGGGTGAACTTTCCATGCTGGAGGGGTTCAACCAGAGGTTGGAGGACAGCTTGGCAGGGCTGTGGTGGGAGGTGGGAGCTAGCCGAAGCCTTGGAGGGAAAGCAGCCCCGACCCGTTGCCTCTGAGACGTCATCTTAGGCTGCCATGGATCCCCGACGGGCCAGTAGGATCACTCTCATTTTAGGAATGAGGAAACCATGTAGGAAGTGGCAAAGTGAGGGCTGGAGCTCAGGCTCTTAACTATGTCCTGGGACCCTTGGGGTCCTCTTAGAGGGAAATCAGCCCCTTCTCAAGGGCTGGCACCCATGGCATCTGGCACCTGTGCCCAGGCTGCATCAGCTTTTCCCACGCTGGGTGCCTGGTGAGGCCCTGGCAGAGATAGCTGCCTGGGGCATATTTTTAGCTCTGAGCCTAGCGGATGGTTCTGGTTATGTAATTACCCGAGCCCTGGTTCCCTCCAGACCTGGCCCTGTGCTGCCTGGGCCCCGGGCTCTGGAATCTGCCATCTGAGGCTGCATTTCCTCCTGGCTTTGGAGCCTCTGTGAGTACATGCCCAGAGCTGGAGACTGCAGCTATCACAGTATCGCAGACAGGGGACCTTGCAGCCCGGGGTCACCGCGCGGCACTGGGATGCAGCTCAGACTCTCCCCAGTGCCTGCACGCCACCGTCCTCTATACCCTGCGTGCTCGCCTTTGCAAACGCCGTCTGTGCTCATGGCTGAGAGCAAATGCCCCCTCCTTTTCAGACGACCACGCCCTCCTTGCCACTCCTGCAGTGGTTCACGGAGGGCACACGTCATTTTTTGAAGGCCCTCATGATGGCTAAACCATTTGCTGAGCTGCGTATCGTGTTCTCCTTCCATCTTCCCAGCCATCCTGAGAACTAGGTTCTAATAGTCTCTTCATTCTACACGGGAGGAACCCGAGGCTCGGAAAGGCTCAGTTACTTCGGATGAGGTCAAACAGAGCAAACGCCAGAGCCAGGGCTGAGCAAGGGCAGTCTGACTGAGGGTCTACCCTCTCGGCCATCTGTCAGCTCTTCTGTCCATCTACTCCATGAGCCCCTTCTGGCCAGAGACAGGCCTTACCTCTCTTTCTTACGTGGCGTTGATAAAGAGGTCTGGTCTGGGAGTCAAGAACATTTGCACCGAGAGGCTGTGTGATCTTAAGCAAGTCCCTTCCCTCCTCCAGCCCTCAGTTCCCCTAGGAAACCTGGGCTGATGGGGAGGCAATTCCAGGGTTTCCCCCAGCCCCGGGGAATGACCAGCCCTGCTGACCGGCTCCTAGGCTCTCTGCCTGCCCCACCCCCATCACCCTGTCTGTAGACTGGAAATTCCATAGATCATAAAATTCCAAAGATAATAGCATGCTGGTTTCTACCGTCTCAGCCCCTCTCTGCACAGATGGTGGCTCTGGGGCTCAGGGAGGGGCAGGGTCTCACCTGTGGCCACCAGAGCTCGTAGTCCTGCCCCTATCCACCTCTGCATAGTTCCTGGGACCACTGAGGGATGCAGGGAATCCCTGAGTCCTCCCCCACCCCGCTTTCTGGGCTGCAGCGTTTATAGAATTGGTCTGCTGGCTTCTAGTCAACTATGTGCTTCGTTTCTCTACAAGGCAGTGGCTGGAGAGGGGTGGGAGGTGGGGCAGAGGATTGGGAAGCCCCCACTTTCAGGGGCTGCACAGGGGGTGGCTGAGCTCCTGCCCACCATCTGCGGGACAGCTGGGACACGACTGGGGAAAGGCAGCTACCCTTGCCCTTGTGTAGCCCACCCTTGGCTCTGGCTGGGGGAGCTGGGTGGCAGGGACCCCTCCTCAGACACCCCCGGTTCTGGCTGAGCTTCATGGCTAGACCCCAGGAGCCTGGGTTGGGGTGGACATCTGGGATTTTTCAGATTCTTTAGAGACTGCTGGATCCCAGAGTTTTGTAGCACAGAGGGGGAGACTGAGGCTGCGGCTGGGGAGTGCTGCCTGAGACTCAGAACTGGGACCAGGTCCTGACACTGTAGGTCCATTCCTGTGTCAGGACACGGTGCTTGGTGGGAGGGAGCAGGAGGGCCGATTATTTCCGAGGGAGGGTCACACGTGGCACTTATACATTCCTTGGCAGGCTGAGCACACTCTGGATCTCTGGATCCCGCTCCTTCCTGGTGCATTTGGAGAAGGGGAGGGTCCCAGGGCAGGCATTGAGGAAGAGGGAGGTGCCTTGGTTGGAATGTGACAGGCTGCAGCTGGGAAGCTGGCCTCCAAGAGGGAGGAAGGAAGCGCCTTCATGCACATCAAGAGGACCAGGGGGAGAGCGGAGTGTCTAGAGGCTGATGGGGTGGAGACCGTGGACCCCTCGAGGTATCTCCCTCAGCTCCCATCGCCCCCAGATTATCCCTGCTGGGCAAAGGCCCTGGGATATTACCTGACTCTTCCATCTCTGTTTATGTTATGAGGTGAAGGCTCTAGCCCAGGGCACTTTTGGGAGAAAGTAGGCATAGTAAGCTCCAGCTGTGGCCGGGGGATTCAGATACAGCCTGGGAAAACCGAGCATCGTGGACCTGAGACCAAGACTTTGCTCTCTCTCTTGGCCACAGTTTAAGAGAACTGCCTTCTGACCTTGGCCAAGACTTTTGTACTCTCTGGAGCTACCCAAATGCTCCATGGTCTCTGGAGGACCCTGGTAGTTCAGAGCTTGTAGGATTCTAGGGGAGGGCTCTGAGTCCATGTTGTAGCCCCAGGGGAGGTTCAAAGAGGTTAACACAGCCTTCATTGAGCTCCCAACTCCAGAGCCTAATAGCGCAAATGTCCAGTTGGAGTCCAAAGGGTGAAGAGGTTCCCTGTAGGCTGGAAGAGTCCTAGAAGACTCCCTGGAGGAGGTGGCATTTGAGCCAGGTCTTAAAGGTTGGATTGGGTTTCAACTAAAGGGAATGGATGGAAAAGACATGTTAGATGATGGGAACAGCATGGGCAAAGGGGATGAGGAGAGAAGGTGCCAGGTGCATTGTAGAGTAGAGAACAGCTAAGTGTGGTTTGAGCCCGAGGAGGCTGGGAAGGGTGACTGGGGTCAGGTCGAGAAAGTGGGAAAGTGGTAAAAAACCAAGGGCCAAGGACTGGTCCTCTGAGCACAGGCATATCTGACGTCAAAGTCCAGCTCTGTCCCCTTGCAGTTGGGTGACTGAGACGGGCACAAACCTCATCTCCGAGGTTGGAATTAGGAAGCACCTTGTGGTGGGTTGACAGGCTGAAGTGAATAATGTGCGGAAAGTGCTTCCCCAGGGCCTGGCCCCGAGCTGCCCTCCTGAAGGCAGGCCGAGTAACCATGATGGTGTTGTGAAGACTGGATGTGGGAAAAAAACGCGGAACCACTGGGGCAGGCAGGGGCTGGCCTCAGTGTTGGAAACAAGGTACCTCCTATTTCCTCTCATTTTTTTTTTTTTTTTTCCTTTCCAGGGTCCTCCTGGGCCTTATGGAAACCCAGGTCTCCCCGGCCCTCCTGGAGCCAAAGTGAGTGTTTACGTGAGGCCTGGACCTATGGCCACAGAGCGGGTGCTGGGATTGGGGAATGTGTGTGTGGGCTCTCTGGGGTCCCAGAGGAGAGGTTTCCAGGTCCTCATGGAGGATTCCCACCCGGGCCAGAGGCACCCTGAACTTTTCCCCGGTGCTGGGCACCATGCCAGGTCGGCAGGTGGAGCTAGGGGTTGAGTGTGGCCGCTGATCGAGAGGCTGAGGGGAGCAGGGGGCTTGAACTAGAACCCTCAAGGGGAGTCAGCAGGGTTAACTCATCCTAACAGGGAGAACCTTCAATGTCAGACTAAGGACGAAAGATTGACGGGGTTGTAAGACGCGGCTGGGGGCATCGGTGTTGGAGCTGGGGAGGCAAGTGAGAAGCCGGCGTTTTAGGAAGATGGCGGGATGCCCTGGCAGGGTGGACTGGAGTATCAGAGGCACAAGGTTTGACCAGAGCCAATACAGGAGACAGAGGATGTGAGAGGCTGGCCCACAGGAGGGACAGGGGACAGAGGACGCTGGCCCGTGGGAGATCCAGGGGACAGGGGAAGTTAGAACAAGAGGGGAAGATGCAGCACCATGGAAGCTGGGGACGGCGACTGCCGAGGAGTGTGGGCGGGAGAGCGGGGCTGCCGGCCGAGACTCCTGCCCAGCTGTGCAGCACCCTATCGGGTGCCCAGCAGGTGAGCACTGGGCCTTGGTCAGCCATGTCCACAGCCAGTCTTTGCTAACCTGACAGCGAAGACCAGATGGCTTAAGGAAAGCACTAGATAGCTGACCCAGGCCATGCAGAATGCCCTGAGCAGCTGCCATGGCCTGACTCCCCTGACTCCCAGAGCACACTCTTGCGGCCTTCAACTTGTCTGGGAGTTGTAGAGAAAGGTTGCCCTGAGTGGCCCTGGCTATATGGCTATGTGGCACCAGAGTCCTGGCATAGAGCCTTGCAGGGGCATTGGCCCCAGTCCCTGTTGGTCTGACTCTACGGCCAGGCGGGGCTGGGTCCTTCCTGGGAAGGCAGGCAATGGAGGCCTCAGGTGTAGTGGCCAGCAGCTTCCTGGAGGGCTCTGGGCTTCAACACAGCAAACGCTGATGACAGTGAACCTTAGTAGTGAACCGGTAGTGAACCCTTTCTGGGAGCCGGGTACCATGCACACACCTCACCTGGCCTGTCTCCTGTGATCCCAACCAGGCCACCACAATGCATGAAGGGACCGTACCATTTATAGACGGGGAAACTGCCAAAGAAATGGAGCCGAGCCTGCCCCCACGGGTCAGGCAGAGAGAAGGGACGCTCCTTCGGCAACCTCTGCTCTGTAGCACGGGCACATCAAAATGCCGGGACCTGGCAGCTGTTTTGAATTGCCGACCCTGCCCTTCTCGGCCAGCTCTGGTGTGGGCCTGGTCACTCCCTCTCCCAGACTGAGTCCTGCTTTTGTGGCACAGATACTCCACCAGTGCCCCCACTCCCACTCGCCCATGCTGGCTCTGTTTTTCCTGCT